CGGTGACAAAAGGAGAGAACATCATGTCCCATTATTAATCACTCGGTGCAAATACAGTTCATAATTTTTAATAATCCCAAATTTTTCATAAATTTTGCATAAACTCACTGGTGTTGAAACTTGACCTGGGGCTTTTTAGAGTTTTTACTTAGCTCATCAGAGTGACCCTTTATGTTTTACTGTAGAAATATTAATGTATTTGATTCCAGGATACTGCCATAAACTGGTGGGAGGATAAAATAAACACACTAAGGATTTCAGAATATCAAAACGTATTTGGTCTAAGGGGTCTGGGATAAAGGACTATGGAGCTGTAGTACTACTTTAGTCTTTTCTAAAATGTTCCCCTCTCTAAGAAGTGCCTTCCTCTGTGCTCTCCCATGGTTTTTGTTTTAAAACAGTATCTCCATCATTAAACCAAAGATCATGTATTTTTAACATTTTGACTATTCCCCCCATTTATTTTAAGCAGTCTGAGAAGTGATCAGATCCTTCTGTCACCTAGCACAATACCCGAGTTCCAACTCAGTTTATAGATTAAACAAATAAAAGAATGAAAAGAACTGGGTAGAGTTGAATGAGTGAGTGTATATGAAGGCACAGGTAAATTTTGCTTAGATTCTTTATGGTTGGGCAGACTTACTATTTAACCATGAAAACCTAAAAATCACACATTGTAAGTTCACACTATTTAAGAATTAAAAGCAGTAATGCAAGGAGAAAGCTAAGAAAGAACATCTTTGTAAATCTTCTCCATTCACTTCTTACATCTAGCAGATATTTTTTCTTTGAAAACAGCCTACAATTCATATCATCAAATGTCAATGAATCAATACTTTACTGAAAGATAATTCAAAGGAGGAGAAAGGTGGGTGTAAAAATTGCAGTTAACAGTAAAGATGGCTTAAGATACCAAGTGGTAAAAGTAAGTAGAAAATTCAAGCACACATCTAAATAAAGTGGAGAAATGGCTGACAAGAGAAGTGCGGGTCAGATATAAGGTACAAATAGGGATTTGAAAGAAAGTTTGTATTTGCGCCTTTGTATGTTTAGAATAGTTTGTTGTTGCTGGTGGCCTCAGCAAGAGAAGTGACAGGAGCATATTGAGGTAGAAAGTCAAAATACTGTGGATGGTGAACAGGAAGGAGATGAAGAAAATGACTCAAAGTAGAGGGAAGGAACTATAAGGGAGGACCATTTCTTAAAAATTGGTATAGCTCACAAGCCAGTGCAAGTACTGCTTTGTTTGCTGGCAGAGTACTAGATTTGAAGAGCAAAGCAATGATGTGGATACAGTTTTACAGTGAAACTGAGCTTGTGGGAAAAGACTCCCTATTTCTGTAACAATACATTCTCTGTGTTCTCTTCCAACCTTTACCTAGTTCTCCTATTTGCTTTTCTTAAATAGAAGTATTTCCCCAAGTTCTGTCCCTAACTCCACCCATCCCCTTCCTCTCAAGGCCATCTCAAACCACTAGCTAGAAGACCCCCTAGTCAGTCAGCTCTGACTTTTCTCTCTGGAATCCTGCTATTTCCTATGGCTTCTGAAAAACTACAGCTTCTGATAAACCAGCTTCCATACAACTACTTCACTGGCTCTTCAAACCTGTTACTGTTTCAAAATGAAGCTCCATGTCACAGATACATGCAAGTAGCTTTTACATAGACAGATATGGGCTTAAATCTTGACTCTAACCAAACGGGTGACCATGGGATGTGGAGAGGCACACCTGAAATACAGCCTGGGAACCATTTTGCTCAGTGCCTGGCTAAGGATCAAGCTCAGTTTACTAACTAACATTATTACTAAACCATTTAGAACCCAGAATTGTATCTTATCATCCAGAAGCTACATTCCATTTAACTACCAGAAACATCTTTATAAGACTCAAATTAGATCTTATTAGTTAAAAACTTACTCAAAGCTCTCCAACAGAAAAAACTTAAGTCTGGCACACAATATGCAATTTGCCACTAAGTACTTTCTACTACTCATCACACATACAAGCCAGAATGTATGATCAACTGTTTTCAGCGTGCATACACACACACACACACAGTAAAGCTGTATCATACAATATATACATTTCAGAGAATTCCTTGGTGGTCCAGTGGTTAGGACTCCAAGCTCCCACTACAATATATATATTTCAACTTGTGCAAATATACAGTAGGGAAATCAGGAGGGAGGGCAAAGGAGGTAGGTGTTAGGGAGAAAATGAGAGCAGGAGGAAGCGAAGATGTCGAAAGTTGAGTATGAATTTACCACCTCTAGGCAGCTGGATTTCCTCTAAGATTCTCACAATGTAAGCAGCTTATCATGCTGAGTAAGATTTCAGAGTTAGTATAACAGGGCTGCTCCACGAAAGTCAAATATTTTTCCTGGTACTCTACTGAAGAAAAGGGATTCATTCCCTCATTTGAGGAAAACATGACTGTGTTGGACCAAACAAGACATGGTACTATTTTATGGATGAAGTGAAGAACCTTTCTAATGGTTCAAGAGTTTGGTCTTAAATTGGCGTAAGATGCTATACTTCTATCTTCTCCCTGCCTCCACATCTTCACCCTTCACACAAAATATCTGCCTCCCAGAATACACAGACTGCTCTGACTCCATGGGGCTAGAAAGTACTAAGTGGATCTGTTGTGTTTCTTTCAGTCTGTTATTTTATGCATTAACTTTTACTTCAAAACAGGAACTATGCCGTGTGTGTGTATGTATGTGTGTGTGTATATATATATATATGTATGTATGTGTGTGTATACATATATACACAATATATATATATATATATATATATATATATAAAAAACACTTGTCAGGCACTTACTAGTGTACTAGGCACTGAGTTTTATATATGTTACCTCAGTCGATGCTCATAATAACCCCATGAGCATCACAGGTTCTATGAAGACCTACATGACCTTCTAGAACTAACACCAAAAAAAGATGTCCTTTTCCTCATAGGGGACTAGATTGCAANGCCAAAGAATTGATGCTTTTGAACTGTGGTGTTGGAGAAGACTCTTGAGAGTCCCTAGGACTGCAAGGAGATCCAACCAGTCCATCCTAAAGGAAATCAGTCCTGAATATTCATTGGAAGGACTGATGCTGAAGCTAAAACTCCAATACTTTGGCCATCTGATTTGAAGAACTGACTCATTTGAAGAGACTCTGATGCTGGGAAAGACTGAAGGTGAGAGGAGAAGAAGATGACAGAGGATGAGATGGTTGCGTGGCATCACTGACTCAATGGACAGGAGTTTGAATAAACTCTAGGAACTGGTGATGAACAGGGAGGCCTGCTGTGCTGCAGTGCATGGTGTCACAAAGAGTTGGACACGACTGAGTGACTGAACTGAACAGAACCCAAAATAAAATGAGTCACTTCCAGTCTTTAGAGCTGTTACATATATATGGTTTCCATACTGTACCATCCCTTTACCTTTAGGTGATCTGAGTTAGCCTCTAGTTTATGCCCATTTTCAACTTACTATTATCTTGGATGACTTTACATAATTTTTTCTCCAGAAAGTAACCTCAAACTTACTCTTCAGCAAAAAAGACCAATCTGAAACATAATAGGATAATTCCACTACCAATCACATTTATAGAGTATGGCACCTAAGATCAAGCATTTTAAAGGATTTGTACATTACTTGTTATGGCTTATTTTTTGTTACCTTTTGTCTCCCCCTATCACTTCTGTCTAGGACTAGATAAACTAGTGTAAATGATAAAGGAATAAAATAATACAGCTACACAATTTTTGTTTGAATAATATTTTAGATTTGGGTTTGAAATCCCTTTAAGAAGCTAGGGTTCTTTTCAAAAGACAATATTTTGAAAACAACACATGCTGGCCAAATTAATACAGCTGTAGGAGAAATACTTTAAGGTAAGTATTATTTTAACAAAGATGAAGACAAACTAATTTTATTCGTGAGTATAAAGCAGTGCATTTTCAAAACGAGTTTTTGAGATCAATTCTTTAAAGATACTGGTCAAACAAATACGTTTTGGAAATATAATACATTATAATCCTTTTCCCCCACTCAAAAAATATACCAACCCTTACAATCTCTAAAACATTTTACCAAAAATTAAAAAAACAAAGGACCTGTTGAACTTTATGTGAAGTGAAAGCATCTCAGTCGTGTCTGACTCTTTACGACCCCATGGACCCATGGAATTCTTTAGCCCAGAATACTGAAGTGGGTAGCTTTTCCCTTCTCCAGGGGATCTCTCCAACCCAAGAATCAAATGAACCCAGGTCTCCTGCATTGCAGGCGGATAATTTACCAGCTGAGCCTCAAGGGAAGCCCATTGAATATATAATCCATCATTCCCATATTTCTTTGACCAGAGTTCCCCACCTTTTGGGGTTAGAAGTAGCAGTGGTAGAAAACACTCTGGGGAAACACTGCTATCTAGCTCTGTTTGAAAATATTACTCCTAAAAAAACTTATAAAGTAGCTAGGATAGAAACTGTGATAATAAATGAGACGCTTACTGGGATATATGTATTCCATGTAACTTGTATTAAGTGTTTAAAACAGATAAGAAAAGCGACAATTATAAGATGGATTACTTAATTAAATTTTAAAAAATTAACATTTAAGCCAAATGCCTATTTTAAATGCTAATTTTCTGTACCAGAAAATATTATCTGATGCCATTCCCTCCCTCTGATACTAAGTGCAATCTTTCAGTATTAAAACTAAAGTTGCTCCTAGGTATTGAGTGGTTGAGCACAGGTTTGTGAATCTACTGGTTTAGAATTATTTGTGCCTTTGTTTCTCTTTGTACCACAGTGTACTGATTATTTTGAAGGGAAAAATACTTTTAACATGTGGATTTGCTTATATTATGTTTTGTTAAACATCTGGACCATTTTGTTTTGATGTCAACATAATTCTATTGGGCGGGACAAAGTATTGAATAGTTAACACTCCCCAAAAAGAGAGGGACTACAGCAGTTTTAGAAAGCACTTACTTAATCATTTCAAAAAGCTTTGGATCTGAGACCTTGATATTTCGTGCCATATTCCAGGAAAGATGAACCATGGGTACTATTGACTTCACACTTTGCAATTTGTTCCATTCGTACCGTTCCACTGCCAATTTATACTGGCAGGCTAGGAAAAAAAAAACAGTTATAAAGCAACCCAAAGTACCAAAGATATGAAGATAACCACTATCACTTTCTTAGATGATACCATCAACACCAATTCTAAACATCTCAAAATATTACAAAAATATTTTAATTGTGATAATAATAGTAGTGATCATGTAAAGAATGCTTACTCTAACTTTGTGCTACACACTGTGCTAAAGTATTTCACGATATTATACCATTTAATCTTTGCTGTTATCTTATTAATTTTATCACTTCCATTATACAGATGAAGAAATTGAGGCCCAGAGAGGTTCTGTAACTTGCCCAAAGTTGCAAAAGCCAGGTCTGGTCCTAATCCAGGTCTTCTGGCTTGGGAGGCCATAATCTTAATACTGCCTACGGGCAGGCATAATTCAAACAGATTTTAACATAATAGGGCTAAATATATATGACATATCAGATAATGAAAGATTTCAAAGAATGCATAATCACTGTACTTTGCTCTCTCCCATAAAGGGTTTTTCCTTTATGAAACAAAATCAAGCACTCTAAAAAATTATTGAAAGTATCTCTTTCTTGCATATAAAACATAAATTTATCATTTGGTGAGATCTACAGTCTTGGATTTCTATTTGTTAATTTACTATCTTGTACTACAAGTTAAATTTTTACTCAAGGAGACATTCTTCCTCTGATTTCTAGTGAGCTACATTCCAAGAAAAAAAGAATAAACTCATCAGATACAATCCTTTATAAACTTAAGTGTTTTTCTTAAAGTCATAGTCTTTAAAATACCTGTAAGTGGACCAACATTCCAAGCAATGTTGTTGCACCAGCCAATAGCTTGAACCCAATGCACAGTGCCTGCATTTATCCAGACCAAATCTCCAGGTCGCTGAATAAACCTATACACTGGAACATTTGCTTCATAAAGATCTTCAAGGTTGGGCCACCAAGAACCCATTAGGAAATTCAAATTATTTCTGAAATAAGAAAAAATATTACAAATGGATCAAGTACTTTAATAAGCTCCTTGCATGACTGAAAGACAATGTCAGAAGTTTTAAAAAATACGGTTATTCATTGTACTGAAACTTACAGCATATGCAATGAGAAACTGTAGTATATAAAATGAGTGAAATTAATTACAGTTAAGTAGTGGATGACTTATCTAAATATCAGTATTACTACCTTCAGTTGATTTTTCAAAGATCCAAATGAAATCAAAAGTTATTTTAAGTAACACTTACATACATTAACCTTTAATTTCATTTCACTAAAGTCTATTTTGATTAAACTCTTTTCCTTGGTGCACCTAGAAAACTCTAAAAGGTAAATGGAAGGTGGGGTTGGCATCAAGCTATTTAAATCCATAAACAGGAACTCTATGGCAGATACAAGTTCATTTTCTGAGGAAAAGTAGAAGAGAAAGAAGAAATGTTCTCTATTGCTGGTTTGAATCCTAAGCAGGAAAGGAGGATAGCGTATCAGTCTCTGTACAGTTTTGATGACTGATTGACTAAAACGATGCAGTTAAAAAATAAACACTCATACACATGTACAAATATTGATAACAATCACCACCACCACCACTATACTTTAGAGACAACACGTTACTAAGCTTTTCCTTTAAAATCTGGCTTTTAATTCTATTTCATCATGATATGAAATATTTTTATAACTACAGTTTAGAAAAATTTGTCTGTAAAGCGGAATATGGTTATAAACAAATCCTAGCCCTATTTATCCCATGTGCTCTTGTTTTAAAATTGGAGAAAACTTTCTATGCAAAAGCACGCATGCAATCAATACCATCTAATAATCAATAGCTAGGGTAAAAAAACAACTCAAGCTAATAACAATGACAAAAAATCAAGTATCTTCTCTATCATATAGTCAAGTGACTGGTTATTTCATGACAAATATAAAGTCATAAAACAAACTATACAGATATGGTCAAATCAGTTAGTATTACAAGCAAAAATCCTTCTGTGAAACAAAATTACACTGAAATGCAGAGGTAGCAACTGGTATTTCTGAAACTTAGTTAAATTTACCTAACTCTTCAGACTTTTTTTATTATCCCCATGTTCAAGCTTTTAGACATCATCTGCCTATTCCAATTACCTATTCCCATGTTACCTCTCCATTCAGATAGAAAAAAACACTACATGCTAAAAATAGTTGATCCTACTCAGAAATAATGAAAAAGGATCACTGTACTGTAGCTACAATATACTAAATAGTATCTCAAAGTTTAAGAAATAAAAATATTTCTGAAGCACCATAGAGATTTTCTGTATGATACAGTTCTTTCTCTGCTACCACCAGACTGCTGGTCCAGTAAAGATTAAAATGGATCAGGTTATTTCACAAGAGCATTTGACTCTTTTAAAATTTCACATCTTGAGCTTTCTTAGAAAATAAAACGTGACTAACTTCTGCTTGTATATAAAGAAAGTCTGTCATATTATAGTTGTTTTTGCAACTATATTTATATAGTATATATATACATATATATACTATATATAGTAAAAATGTAAACTATATTTAAATTTCATGCTAAATCAAGATATTTACAACAAGGATCTTTTAACCCAAAATTTGCAAACTGTAAGTCAGTATGTATAATAGGTGTATAATTAATTTTCAAAGTCTCTCATATATAAATGTTTTAGGTGGTTTTCCCCCTCTTTATCCTACTGGGCTGGAGAGGAAATAACACCAAATTATGTATAATTTATATTTTTAGCTGTAATAATTTTCCAATTTAATTACAAATGGAAAAAAATCAGGATCTTAAGTAACAGAGTAATTTTTTAAACAAAATAAGACAAATAATTAAATTTAAATTAATGAAAACAATTCCCAAGTACCCTTTAACGGAAGATAATTAAACAAAGAGTTTCTAGGAACTTAAGGAAAGGAACATTTCCATTATATGAATTCTTTCAATTCTAGGTGACAAAATCTGAAGCTATTGTTTAAATCTTACAAAATTGCGTTATAAGAAAAGTTACCAATGTAGTTTTAAAAAGAATTTGTATCATGATGATACAGCAAAGAGTAATACATTCAAGTTTAAGTTAATAACAACCTCTAAGGGTGCTCAATTATAGAATTCCTTCCATTTCTAAAGCCATTTATCTAAGAACAATGTTTCTTTCACATAAACAAGTATTTATACATCAACTGCTTAATTAACCCAGTAAACAATACAACTTTCTACCCATTAAATTCAAGACTATCACTACTGCATGAAGTGGTTTTGAAGTATCTATCTTTTTTTTTTTTCATTTATTTTTATTAGTTGGAGGTTAATTACTTTACAATATTGTAGTGGCTTCTGCCATACACTAACATAAATCAGCCATGGATTTAAATGTGTTCCCCATCCTGAACCCCCCTTCCACCTCCCTCCCCATCCCATCCCTCTTAAAATACTCCCAATAACACAAAATAATAGGTTTATAATCAAATCATTTTATAAATGAATTTCCTGCTGAATGGTAAGTGAAAATTGCTTACATGCATTAGGATATCCAGCTTAGTAAGTTGCCCTTTACAATAACTGTTTTCAAATAATTATGTTTAATAAAATTCAGTTTGGAAACCTACTTTTCACAGAAGTCATTCAGAACACCCCAGTAACCTTCCGGAACAACAAACCATTCACAGTCACCTGGACCAATATTAATGTTAACTGAACAGAAATTGTTATTTTCTTGATGACCTGAAATGTGAAAAGAAAAAAAATAATCAACATACAATAAATTCTATAGAAAAATGTGTCTTTAGGAATGAAACCTTAGAAATGTTCAACAGAAAATGCTCCTGTGTTATTCAATTGTTTATCAGTATATGTCAAGTCTTAGAGCTGAGTTTGGTCAACTCCTAACTTTTTCAGTAGGAGCTCTGTGGAAGACAACCTAAATCACAGTTAAAAGCTTAGGTTGTGAAGCCAGGTTCCTTGGCTTAGTTATTATGTGACACTGGGCAAGTTTCTAAACCTTTCTGATTCAGTTTCCTATAAGATCTGGTGATAATGATTCCAATAAGTCAATGGGTTGTTCTGAGAAACAATGAAACACAGACTGCTTTGAATACTGCCTAATACATGGTAAGTAATAAATATTGGCTATTATTGATATTATTACCACTACTTCCTTGTGAACTAATTCCCATTTCTTACAAGTAGCATTAGGACATCAGTAGAGAGGCAAGAAGTCTGATTTTCAAACTGTATGTAGTGGCAGGAATGGTGTCAACAAAAATGGCCGAGCAGGGAACTTGGGGAACTCGCCAGAAATACCAAACAACAAAAATAACAAAAACACCTGGTGAAAACTGTCAGAAGCAAACTCATCAGAAATTTGGACAATATAGTCAAAGGTTTACAGAAACGAACAACTGACCAAAAGAAAGGTGACTTAAACACAGTAGATATCTGTATGTCACTCACCATATCTCCATTTCTACCACTGCTGTGACAGTGAACTTAAAAAATAGTAGTGTGAATTCCTAGTGTGAGTGTCCCTGGTTCTCGAGGGAGCAGAATAGATCTTGTTCCCAAAGAATTCTGTTCTGTCTACCCTGCAGTTTCCCCAAAAGGCTGACAGAAAAGGGACTTCTCGTTCTTTCACCTAACTCAGAGCCCTATCAGTACAAGTATTTCAATGCAGGAGGACCTCCCAAAACACTGCCAGACTAAAGAACAAGCTGATGCCACCAAGGGCAAAAAACAAAACAAACAAAAGAACCACCTGGAGAAAACGACAGACATCCCGAACGCTTGGATGGAAAAGCTGGGGAGTGAGATTTCACAGGAATAAAGGCTTTGAAAAGTTCCTCTGGATACTGCAGAATTTAGAAGCCACATACATGCTCAGGGCAAGAGTAGTTTACAGAAATCTATCATATCACTGCCGAGATAATTAATGGAAAGGACACTTCAGTGCCCATATATGACAAGGAATATAGTCTTTGTAAAACCAGTGTGACTACTACATATAAAAGGGATTTCATGTGGCTCAGAGGGTAAGGAGTCTGCCTGCAATGTGGGAGACCTGAGTTCGATCCCTGGGTCAGGAAGATCCCCCGGAGAAGAATATTGCAACCCACTCCAATATTCTTGCCTAGAAAATCCCTTCGACAGAAAAGCCTGGTGGGCTACAGTCAATAGGGTCATAAAGAGTCGGACAAAACTGAGTGACTTCACTCTCACTAAATATAAAAATAGATAACTAATGAATACCTACTCTATAGCACAGGGAACTCTACTCAATACTCTGTAATGGCCTAAATGGGAAAAGAATCTGAAAAAGAACAGATATATGAATAACTGAAAAAAAAAAAGTGTGGAAACTCACTAAATGAATAAACTATAGCCCATAACAAGCAACAGTAACAAACCTTACCAAAGAGAGGAGACTCTGATTTCTGCTAACTGCCACAACATAATATTCAAAATGTCAAAATACTAGCTGAGCACTATGCTAAAGGGACAGAGACTTCAGAGACCACATTCTACAAATACTCAAAAAATCAGTTTTCAACAGAAACTCATGAGGTATGTAAAGAAACAAAGTATGGTCTAGTTATAGAAAGAAAAAAAAATCAGAAATAAACAAAAGGTATTTCTTAAAAGGCACAGACACTGGACTTCAGAGACAAATAACTTTATACCAACTATCTTAAAATATACATAGTTAAAAAAAACATGTTCAAGAACAAAAGGAAACAAGGAGAATGATGCCTCAACAAACAGATTATCAATCAGTTCGCTTCAGTCATTCAGTCCTGTACAACTCTTCGAGACCTCATGGACTGTAGCACACCAGGCTTCCCTGTCCATCACCAATGCCCAGAGCTTATTCAAACTCATGTCCATTGAGTTGGTGATGCCATTCAACCATCTCATTCTCTGTCGTCCCCTTATCCTCCTGCCTTGAATCTTTCCCAGCATCAGGGTCTTTTCCAAGGAGTCAGTTCTTCACATCAGGTGGCCAAAGTATTGGAGTTTCAGCTTCATCATCAGTCCCTCCAATGAATATTCAGGACTGATTTCCTTTAGGATGGACTGGTTGGATCTCCTTGCAGTCCAAGGGACTCTCAAGAGTCTTCTCCAACACCACAGTTCAAAAGCATAAATTCTTCTGCACTCAGCTTTCTTAATGGTCCAACTCTCACATCCATACATGACTACT